CCCCCCCCCCCCCCCCCCCCCAACTTTATGTCAACATATGCAGGCCCACCGATGCGAAAGCGTGCAACGAGCATTCTCCATTTAATTATTGCAAAACAATCATATTACTTGAACTTAATGGTCTCCATGAATTTGTTAAACCAATTCATCATTATATTTGAAAAAATTGAGATCCGTTTAATGTCAGAACTTACTCTTTATCTGTTGGATCAAAACAGTTTCGCTGAATAGTTTTTTAAGTTAAAAATTAAATTTAGTCGATTTTGAACGTAAATTAGAGTGAGAATTTTTCGTTGTTTCGAATAAATTTTCATGACTTCGTATTCTACTTTTTGAGTAGAATAATGCAATATATTAATTTGCTCAAATCAAATAAGAAATAAATGAGAAAATAGATTCTAAAATAACTCTCTTAAAATATGAAAATAAAAATTGTGCAATGTGAGATTTGATATCAATCCCACAATAGTTGAGGAAGAAGTTCTACATGAGTATATATAGGCCACAATTTTATGAGTAAAGTGAGCATCTACGTGTCTTGGATTCTACCACACACGTGCGCGCATACCGCCTACCATGCCACGACCCGGCTAGGCTCGGGTGTGGGTTAGACCAAGTTTTATTTTTTTGGAGAAAATTTGTTTAATTAATTGGACAAGAATTTCTGAACCGAAATTAAATTTTGGTATTTGTTCGTATTGATTTAGAGAGTAATTTCCTTTCGGTCCGAAATTTTGAATTGTGTTTGTTCATAGAGAACAGTTATACAAGTGATCTTTTCTGGCTACATGTGATTGCTGGATTGCATCCATTCATATGGTGACTGCTTGAATCAATTACCTTTCTCCCTATAAATAATTCAGTCACATAATCATTTAGCATCCAATAAATCCAATTCATTAAACACATTCTTAGTTATTTAAGACAGTCTCATACATTATTGAGATAGTCTGCATTTAGAGAATACATAAAACAATTTCTGGTTCGCTGGACAGGTAAATTGGAATGTTATTTTTACTCGTGTGAATATCATTGTATCCTGGGAGACAGATGTTTTATATTCCATAAGTATTGTGTGTGTAGACAAAATCTGTCTTAAGTACATAGTGTCAAACACTAACTTTGATCTATTTATAGTTTGATAATAATTCCTATTCTGCAACTGAGTTAATATTTATATTGGTTTGACAAATAATTACGTGTAACTATTTCGTTAAGACTACTGTAACTATTTTGTTAATTTTTCTGTAACTGTACTGTTTTAATTTTCTGCATAACTGTTTCACAATTATTTATTATTGTTTTATTATACATTACATGTTTCAAATCAGAAATTTCAATAAATAATTTTACTACATTTAGAATACCACAAACAAAATTATCTACCAACAATAATAGTTTAGATCAATAAATTAAGTCAAAGTAAAATGTATTATTGCAAAGAGTTTTTTAAATATCTTGAAGCACAATGCGATATTGTTTGGTCGCAAGCGTGGGCTGCTTCATGATTCAAACTATTGTTTAATATCAATACGAGTAGGTCAAGTAATATTAATATCGGTCATTTCTAATTCGATAGAATTCCAGTTTATCTTTATTTTTTGAGTTTGACATGACTTAGCTTGAGTCATTCAACAAGTATCCGAATTGGTCTTGAGTCAATCTTAAATTGAGTGTATCGATCAATATCAGGGGCGGCTCAAGTTAATTTAAAGCCTAAAACGATAATATTGAATAAAATTTTTTATTTATAGTATTATTTTTAAAAAATAAAAAATATTTTAAACTTTTTTAAAATGAGAAAGGAGGATGTGATACTTTGTTTTTGTTTTTTAAAAAAGAGAAAGAGAATAGATGTGAGTAAATATGAGTTTTTTTGTATTTGTTTTTAAAATTTTTTATTTTTGAATTTTTAATGTTATGAATTGAATTGTAGGCCCAAATTATTGAAATTATAATTTTTTGATTGACCTTAAATTTTTTATGTAGATTAATTATGTATCTAAAATTATGTGACTTTTTAAAAATTTAGGATCTAAAACTCATGTTTTTTTTTTAATAGTGTTGGGCCGGCCCTAATCAATATTGTACCACACAACATGATATAGTCTGGATCTCTTGTTACGTTCAACTTCTTTTATATCATATCACTAGATAAAGTTTGACGACAGTACAATCGATGTGTCAGAGAATCCTCAAAAATCGATGATAGTAACCTTAAACCATGCTTTGGCCGAGAAGTCTTGGAAAGATTAGGTGATGCCATCATCCGCTGGTGAAAATATTGTTTATCATTTTTTTATTGTTTATTTTAGATTATTTAAAAAAAAAAATTGCAAACAATTTCATCTTTCGTTATCTTGCTTAATTGAGCTGTTTTTGTTCTATAGGGAATTTCTTATTCAATTTTGTTGTTTCTTCAGATTAACAAATAGAAGTACATACATTTATCAAAAAAAATAAAATAAATAGAAGTACACACATCCATTGCATTTCTTGACTTGAAAAGATTTAACCCCATCACTTGTCTTGGATTTGTCTTGTTGGGGGGCCCTCAAATAAATGAGTGAGTGTGAGCTACAACTGCCATCTTTGTATGCGCAGTTTTGTCATTGGTTATTTATCTAGTGAGTCATGGAGGAACTATATTTAACTCCTCCTCATTGTAAATTATTCTATATATGAAACTTCTGTCACTGTGGGGGTCTAGGGGTGTCATATTTATGATTCCCTGCTACGAGTTGAAAATTTTAAATCATCATCAATATTCAAGATCAAGGGCTGAGGTCTCCAGAATCTTGTTCATACTAGGCATACATTTTTTCTTTGTTTTTTGATATACTAGTGTGTTGAGGACGGAGGAAAGGATGAAGCCTGTTGGGTTCTTAAAAGATCATATTCAAAAGTGATTAAACGAGGGTGTTTTTGAAATAGACCCTCCTAAGCAACTTGTAGTCATCTCAAATCCGGTAGTTGTAATAGTTGGAGATATTTTTTGTCCGATAGCTGATCGCGGGTCAAAGAAGGGTTAGTCAAGTTTCTCGAACCTAAGAGACTAGATGAGGTGGACAAGTAAGAGATCCCAAATACTGCTAATTCCATTGGATTTTTAGTTATTTGAATCAAAGAAGAAGAAATAGGGAAAGAGAGGAGGCCCGTAAGGATCAAGATAAAGACGATTGAGCCAGTATCACTATTTTCATATTGCTACTACCACTATACCCGTTGCCCCTTCACGGGATGGGAGGTGACTTGCGCTACACTTGCCATTGGGCAGCTCCGGGCAGATATTGGCTTGTTCTATTCTGATGTCATTGGCCTAAGCACGTGTATAGGCATAGGAATTGCTTTCTCCGGGCGATAGGGAGTATAATCAGTCCATGTGTGGAGACTGAGGGTGGTTTGTAAGTAGTACACTTCACCCCTTGGAAACCATCATATCTATGCATTACCCTTGTTTTAGCAGAAAACTAAACAAATCAAAAGTGACTTCCTGATTCAGAATGTTGTTGACATGACCATGCACAAAAAGATTTTAAGGTCAGATCTACCGCTGCATAACCATGGAAAGGTTACCATTGCCTAACCAGTGACAAAGCCTAATCCCAATCTTTCAGCAACTGAACGGAAAGTGGTTCAGTTGTGGTTTTGGTCCCCCTGTAGCCTATGGCTGTGAAGCTAGGTGTATACTGCCACGTCGAGACTCTCTTTCCAAACAAAAGTAACGAGACAACAAGACATCTGATAAAGAGCGTAAATTTTCACACAAAACCAGCATTAGCATTCCATGAACAGTACTAATTTATAAAGGACAATAAATTTCAGTGGCATTCAATTACCTTCTCCATACATTTTGCACCATGACAAAACATTATAATATTTCATGTTAAGCTGAAACAGTCACAGGGCAACTCTCCTTTGGCATGAAAGTGGAGGTAGCTCCAATGGCACCAATCACCACCACATGCCAAAAAAGAGTGGCCCTATGACTGTTTTGCTTATTATTGAACTGTTTCCTCTCGCTCAATTTTGCCTTGAACTGCTTCTGTTCACTCGTGTCCCGTTTAGAAGCTTTATAGAAACGCTGACCCCGTCTCGATAAGGGATAAACCATTGAAGGAATGGCATATGCTTGTGTTGGGGGGGTGGGGGTTCACCATATGCAGAAATTCTTATCCTTTGCATTTACCCATGTCCTCAAAGCTCTTTTAGAAAAAAAAAAACAGATTCTTCCTCAGTCCTTGTCCATGAATTTTTAGGTGAAACGGGGAAAAAAGCAGTTGGAAAGAGATGCTGTGTAAGTATGTATGGAGGTGTCATGATAGCATGTACGTTGAAATGGCATATCCTTGTTTCATATTCTTCTTCCTTTCTCTTTTGCTTTATGTGTTGGCTTTTGGGTTTTTGGAATTTCAAAGAGCTTTAAGTACATTTTCAAATTTCTCGGGCTTTGATGACACATTTCATTACTTTAATTATAAGATTCACCATTACTTTTGACTCCCAGTGAGTTAAACTTTAGTAGCAATCCTCTCTTTTTTCCTCTCTTCTTTTGTTCGTATTAGCATTTGCAATCTTTTTTTCTCGTGCCAGTCAATTTTTAACTGTCGTTATATTCATAAGCTTCTCTTATAATATCTACATATTTTTCGTACATGATGAATACATAATAATATTTATTAAACAAATGTCATTTTCGAACGAACAATTAATCCAATTATCTTCTACTTCCTTCCCTTTGGACACCTCTCGCTTAGAATTCTCTGTCCCATGTACCTGCATTAGAAAGGCACAAATTACAAATTCCCAGATCAGGATCAAGATCAAATATGGCCGTGATAATGATAATTAATCACAGACATAACCAAAATAATCACCTTCCAAGCATCATAACAGTAGCTTGAGGATTAGTTCCGGGGGAGTGATAAAATGTGGAGCCATCAATTACACGCAATGCATCAACACCAAGAACCTTGTAATCGTGATCGACAACCCGATCAACTTGGCAGCCTCCGTGGTAATGCCATATGGTCATAACAGTGTCAATGCAGAACTGTTCCAAGGACAAAGAATCAGTCCTATGTCTTGGTCTCAAGTTCACTTGAACATCCAGCATCATATTAATCAGAGCTTGCACTGTCATGTTTGGAAACCGGAACCTCGAAAAAGACTTTGACTCTATGACCTTTATAATGGTATTCATGCCTTGAACACACCTTTGTAGGTCCTGAGGGTCTTTGAAATAGTTGAATGTGACTTGAGGATTATCTCTTGGATCCCGGGTTTGGAGCTCGAGATGACCGGTTGATAGGGGTCCCATGATCTTCTCAAGGATGACTCCAGCTTGAATAGAAGAGTTCCTGTATGCAGGAGCTTCAGCTATGGCCTCTGGAGTTCCTGGCGTGGGAAGTACTGTAGAAGGTAGGGCTGTCTGTAAAATTGGAAATTGTTTCAGTTCAGATCTAATGGATCATCAGTTTATTCTCAAAAAGACTTTAGAACAATGTTATTTAGATTTAATTTGCTAACATAATACAACATTATTGAGGATCAACTACTAATTCAATGAATTAAGTCTATAAATTAAGTCCTACAAATCAAACCATCTGAGCCCAGGCCCAGGGTTACATAAATAAGCTGGCCAATCTATATGTTTGCTTATGAAGATACCAATTAGGCTTGTCAATGATTTGAATCTGAATTCGAATTTAATTAGTTGGATATGAATTAATATTTTTTTACCAATAATTCGAACCTGAATTCTAATCAAAATCCGATATTTTAAATTTCACAGATTCAAATTTAGATATATTTATATATATTCAATCCTATCCGAATTATTTATATATTTTTATATAAATATTAAAGAAATTAAGTGATTATTTAAAAAAATTTAGTTGAATAATTAATTAAAATTTAGTTAGTTAAGTTATTTGAATTCGATTATAGACCACGAAAAAATAAAATCCATCATCTTATTGGATCAGATTCGGATCATATTTTTGAAATGATATTCAGATTCGAATCAGTTAAAACCTAACATAACCTGATCCGTTGATCGACCTAATACCAATAAGCGGTGACACGGGCATAACTGGGTGAGCCTGGACCACCAATCAGTGGCCCGTAAGTACACATGGGACGGGCTGTATAGTCCACCTAAAGAAACGATAGCCACGGCCTACTAATCAGGTCGGTCCTGAACTGGCTAATGGGTCTACGGCGGGCCAAATTTCTGTGAGAACGTGATCCAAAAACTTGCAGGCACTTGGGCCACTTGTTGGCCTTGCCCGCCATAGTATTTTGGTGGGTAGCCGTGGACTGATGGGTTTTTAAGGTTTTGAACCAGCCCATGGGCTGTGAGTCTTAGATGCCGCAAAGAAACAAACCTGCTTTAATAACACTGCTAATTCCTCAGCCAACCTAGGGGCCACTGCATATCCAAAGCTGGCCCCACTAGCTGCTTCAATGTAGCTATTGAACTGGGTAATGCCCACAACTTGAATCAGAGATATTTCAACGGGCCTAGGCGAAGGAATGATCAGGGCATTCATTGGGTTATCAGCCATTCCCTGGCCCACCATGGGATTGTCCAACACCACCCTGATCTGGTGGGCCCTGAGCTGTCCAATAGGCCCAATGCCACTCAACATCAACATCTGAGGGCTTCCAAGTGCACCAGCTGATAAGATGATCTCGTTCATGGAGTCCCTCTTTAAGTATGCTGCGTGTCTCTTGCCGTTTCCGTCTCTAAATACCACTGCATGAGCTTTTGGTCTTGCTGATCCTGCACCATTGTTATGTTTGTGAGCGACTAATGACAATGTGGATAGTCTGATAAGAATATTTTCGGCCGATTAATGAATCACGAAATAAAACTTCTGTCAATATATTTTTCTTCTTGGCAAATTACCGTGAATTCAAGTGAGACTTATGGTATAAAAGTAGGATCCTCACCAATACATGATGGGTGATGTGCCGAGAAGAAAAATAGATGGAAAAAATAGTGAAAAGTATCTCAATCAAGAAATTGACCAATTCTATATGAGCAAAAATACCATACTTGTACATTTTTTTTACTAATTTTTTTTTTCTTCAATAATCAAGAGTGTCTGTCCAAGTTATACGCATTTCGACAAACCCCCTCTTAAGTCTAGTCAAAAACAAGTTATTTGGACTAGAATATTCATAAGCGATAAATCTCTCGTAACCTCGGCCCGAAGAGTTTTATCAAGATTTGAATTTAAAACGTCTGATTTTACAACTCATTTTTATTATCATTTGAACAACCATTGGTTACTAATTTTTGCTTTTCAACTCACTTTGTGGGCTCGAATGAACATTACCTTCAATTCCGAAAAAAATCCGGTGTACTGTTGCATTCAAATAGACAGTAATATTTCCTGGATCAGCATACTCTAACAAATCAGCAGCAGTGTGTCTGTGCCCATCTCGATCAAAGATAGAACCACCAACTTTAGTCCCATACATATGATCATACGTAAAACCATTATATGGGCACACACCAACCTCAAGCAACCCATTCCTCACCGCCGATTGCCACTCCAGAATCGGCGGCTCAAACGCCACCATCTTCTCCACCCATTCATAAGATTCATTAACCAACTTTTGATCCCACCCCATTCTATTAACATAGGTGGTGCTCGCCCTGGTGTAGAACCCCGCGTTCAGGGCCGAGCCACCGCCTAGGACGCGGGCCCGGGCGTTGGGGACTCCGTCTGTGGAGACGAAGGGTTGAGTTGGCGATGATGGGGAGGTGTCAGCGAGGTTGGCGGAGAAAGAGCCTATGTTGGTTATGTTGGGGTTTCCATAGGGCAAACCTCCTCTTTCAAGGAGTAAAACTTTAGAGGCTTGAGAGAGAGTTGCTGCTAGAGCACAGCCTGAAGTTCCTCCTCCAATGATGATATAGTCATAGACTGCATTTGCTGGAGCTAGCGTGGCATCGTGGGCAAATGTGGAATATGGAGCTGCAAAGATACACATAAAACCATTCTAGAGTTTAGGGGTGTAATATGCATAAATCAACCCAAATTCAATTCAAGCCTATTCTAAAACATTTGGTATAATTGAACAAAGATTTTCAATGTTGGTGTTGATTCGAATTTAGAAAATAGTCGGGGTGAGGTCTTGGATTTTTAGGACTCAACCCACACCCAATTTGAATTAATATATCTGGCCTTACTCTGAATTAGACTTGATTTCAACTCAAATTGAAATTGAATTTCAGTATGAATCATATAATCAAAAAATATACCCAAAACTGACCTTGATTTTAACACAAAATTTCAGTATGAATTGTGGAATCCGAGTTTTAAGTTTTAAACACGAAAATTACAAAAGTTGTAAGGTTTGGTTAAATTTAGGATTGAGCTGATATATTTAAAAGTTAGGTTGAGCTCAAGTTAATTTCTAAACTATCCCAACATACCCGAATTACACTCAATACTATATAGACCATGAAGAATAAACCTCGTATATATATGCAGCGATGAATTTTGAATAAATTTTTCTCATCTTACCAAGATATACAAAAACTAGTTTCCTACTAGTCAGCTAAGAGAGAGAAGGCAAAAGTCCAACATACCTTTCTCTGAATAGCAAAACTGAAATAGGAAAACTGAAAAAACAGATACACCAATAGATTTCCACAACCCTGAACCCATATTCTACTATCTAGTTTCAGATGACAGAGACGAAGGCAACTCTTGGTCTTTTGATCTTAATCTTGTGCACTGAACCAACCAAACTATCACCTTTTTAAATAAGTGAAACATAGCGATCTCAATGGCAAAACATACGCCACAGCACAAAGATCTTTGCAACACCTACATGGAATTCAAAGTTGTTCAACAATAACTAAGTTGCACCCATTTCATAAAAAGATTCTATCTCCTCAGACATTGGTGATAACAACCATCGATCCTTTTCCTAATCTATACCTTCCCAAAGTAAAGTAAGAAAAAAGTATAATCGACCCATTTTCTAACAGTTCATTGAGACTTCCAATAAATCAAAGGGAAAGGATTATAAGGAGATTAATACATACAGTCATCACAAAACCACACGAATCGGGTAAACCATTGGAGTACACAATTCTAACATAACGCGAATCAACACAGGATTCCATGCTATTCTTGTTGAGCAATTGTTTATTTTAGAATTTGTTTTTAAGTTTTAGGGTTTAGTTTACAATTTGTTCAAACTTGATAAACTCAATTCAATACTAATATCTATGAACTTTAATCCTCAAACCAGCTATCTGACATTTTCAATGGAGTTCAGGGGCAGAGTCGGGATTATGTTCTATTGGGGGCAAAAGTATAAACGAAAAAGATTAATCAATTGGTATAAAAAATTCTCCCTCACCTCCAATAATAAGGATTAATAAATTTTGCAGATTTTTTTGTTTTTTTTTAAAGTTCAACTATGAGTAACATATTAACATAATTTATATAAAAATAAATCAATTCAACATTTAACAAAATATAAACAAACAAAAACAATAATTTTTTTAGTGGCAAATTTCAACACAATCATATATCAAAGAGAAACACAACGATATTGTTTAAAATCTCAAAAATCGTTTATAAGTAATCAATTCTACAATAAATTTCTAAGCAATTTCATTTTAATCTTGTTCAGAAATTAATATTTTTAGAAGGGTTACATTGTTTTAAATCTCAAGAATGTCTATAATTAATCAATTTTATTATAAATTTGTTGGTAATGTTTAAATCTTGTTGAAAAATTGATATTTTTGGAAGGACATCAATGTACATAACTTATCATTTGCATCTATTCGTATGTTATTATGCAATAATATTAAAAAATTGGGGAAATTGTATTAAATAAGATAGATATTGTATTTGGCTATTATATATAATGAGTTAAAGAATCACATATCCTTTTTACTACTTATTTTAATAAAAAAAATATCGTTTTAGTAGACTAGGAGAACAAGTNTCTCATCTTACCAAGATATACAAAAACTAGTTTCCTACTAGTCAGCTAAGAGAGAGAAGGCAAAAGTCCAACATACCTTTCTCTGAATAGCAAAACTGAAATAGGAAAACTGAAAAAACAGATACACCAATAGATTTCCACAACCCTGAACCCATATTCTACTATCTAGTTTCAGATGACAGAGACGAAGGCAACTCTTGGTCTTTTGATCTTAATCTTGTGCACTGAACCAACCAAACTATCACCTTTTTAAATAAGTGAAACATAGCGATCTCAATGGCAAAACATACGCCACAGCACAAAGATCTTTGCAACACCTACATGGAATTCAAAGTTGTTCAACAATAACTAAGTTGCACCCATTTCATAAAAAGATTCTATCTCCTCAGACATTGGTGATAACAACCATCGATCCTTTTCCTAATCTATACCTTCCCAAAGTAAAGTAAGAAAAAAGTATAATCGACCCATTTTCTAACAGTTCATTGAGACTTCCAATAAATCAAAGGGAAAGGATTATAAGGAGATTAATACATACAGTCATCACAAAACCACACGAATCGGGTAAACCATTGGAGTACACAATTCTAACATAACGCGAATCAACACAGGATTCCATGCTATTCTTGTTGAGCAATTGTTTATTTTAGAATTTGTTTTTAAGTTTTAGGGTTTAGTTTACAATTTGTTCAAACTTGATAAACTCAATTCAATACTAATATCTATGAACTTTAATCCTCAAACCAGCTATCTGACATTTTCAATGGAGTTCAGGGGCAGAGTCGGGATTATGTTCTATTGGGGGCAAAAGTATAAACGAAAAAGATTAATCAATTGGTATAAAAAATTCTCCCTCACCTCCAATAATAAGGATTAATAAATTTTGCAGATTTTTTTGTTTTTTTTTAAAGTTCAACTATGAGTAACATATTAACATAATTTATATAAAAATAAATCAATTCAACATTTAACAAAATATAAACAAACAAAAACAATAATTTTTTTAGTGGCAAATTTCAACACAATCATATATCAAAGAGAAACACAACGATATTGTTTAAAATCTCAAAAATCGTTTATAAGTAATCAATTCTACAATAAATTTCTAAGCAATTTCATTTTAATCTTGTTCAGAAATTAATATTTTTAGAAGGGTTACATTGTTTTAAATCTCAAGAATGTCTATAATTAATCAATTTTATTATAAATTTGTTGGTAATGTTTAAATCTTGTTGAAAAATTGATATTTTTGGAAGGACATCAATGTACATAACTTATCATTTGCATCTATTCGTATGTTATTATGCAATAATATTAAAAAATTGGGGAAATTGTATTAAATAAGATAGATATTGTATTTGGCTATTATATATAATGAGTTAAAGAATCACATATCCTTTTTACTACTTATTTTAATAAAAAAAATATCGTTTTAGTAGACTAGGAGAACAAGTGAACCACTAACTTATTGAAGACTAAAAAGACTAGGGTCACAATTTAAATTTTCAAAAGTTTTAGGGAGAGCAATGAGATAAGTTGAACATCACTTTGTTGTCATATCAATTTATATAGTTAACCCATCAAAAGTCAGCCAATACATGTAGCTCCGCCCCCTGATGGAGTTTGAGCTTCAATTAAACACGACACACATCTTTAAGCTTTGATTCAAAATGGTTTTTGGGGCCATATTAGCTAGCTCTCAGTTCATATTTACTCTGAAGCCCAAGAACACAAATATAGCTCTATATTCACCAAACTCGAATTTAGTTGCAAGTGTGCTTGGTGTGCCCTCTTGTAATGCAACTATAGCGATGCATGCACGAACGATGATTAGTCAGAACTTTTCTCACATAACGTACGGTATTTTTCTGTGCATTGGGCTACCCTTCAATCATTTTCGTTGGTTCAAAAAAATATACACAATAGTACAAATTAATGAGTAACAAAATTATTCACTATATATCCCATGAAATGAAGTTTCTTCCTCAAAAAATTTCATTAACAGAATTATAGAATTATTTTAAAAAAATTGATAGAGGGTATAGTGCCATACTCTTTCTTCTCCACCTCTTGCATTCATGGTGACATGATGAAAGAAAAAAGAATATCAGGGATTTGTATTCATATGGCAATTATGTTGTTCATTTTCATTAAAAAAATAACCTCAAAGTACATAAACACAACAATAATTGGGGTTATCGTCAACTCCAAACTATAAGAACTGTGGCCACCGAAATTTGATAGTTCTATACTCCTATTTAGAGGTGATAATTTTAACCTATTACCCATTCATCTGTCAAATTTTTTCATAAATAAATAGGTTGGATACCTATATTAATTAATATGAGTTCTTAATGAATTGGGTAATATGATTCATTTTAATTAAGCGGGTTAATATGAATTACAAATAGGTACCCATTGGATTGAATATTTATCTTTTTATTAAATAGCACAAGTAATAAAATTAAATTAATATACCAAAAAATACATACACTATTATACCAAAAAATACACACATATACATTAATACACTAAAATATACACACACTAGTACACCTAAAACACACACACTAATATACCACCCACCTAAAACAGACACTCTAATACACCACCCATGACCCATGGGTCAACCCATGTCCCATGGGCGACCTCATGATTCACGACCATGGGTCGACCCATGACCCATAACTTACTCATAGCCCACAATTGTCTTCGACCCATTATGTGTGTATTTTTTTTTTATTAAATGTGTTTTAATTTTTGTGTTAGTATATGTGTGTGAATTTTTGGTGTAGTAGTATGTATATTTTTAATGTATTAATTTGTGTTTATTTTGGTGTATTTGTGTGTGTGTATGTTTGTATTTTAGTGTACTACTAATGTGTGTATGTGTATTTTGGTGTACTAATATGTCTATTAAGAATTTTAATTATTTTATGGATTAATTAGTTTAACTCAACATGTTATAAACCAAACTCATTATAATCCATTTATTATGTGAATGAAAAATAAATTAAATTTATTTTAACTCAATTTATTTTAACCCAACTCATAATCAATCCAATCCACCCATTTATCACCTCTACTCCTGTTGCCTTGTTGGGTTGGGTGACCTCACCACTAGGAAACCACCCACCCCAAAAAGGAAAACCACTAGGAATGAACTCTCAGTTAGTTGTGCAGCCATAATGCCCTATGACCACACATACACAAAATCCTCTGGGGTTACCCAGTCATCCTTTGATTAAAAGTAATTGACCTAAAAATTTGAAATAATTTGTTGGTTTAATGGTGTAATTTTATTATAATTATTGAATTACTACCAAATTTTAATGTTTGATGAAATTTATAATCAATTTAATATTGTAATGAATTAAGTCAATATATTAGGTGTCAATAATATATCTCTTATATTAAAGAACACTTCTTCTTATATCACAGTGAGTTCTAGAGATTGTTGAATTTACGCAATTTTACATTACATACCGAAACAATATTTTAGAGACTTGATCTCAATCACTCTTTGATTATATCTTTAAAAATGATAACTTCCTCAACTTACACGAATCTATTCTTTTGTCAGTGCCGAAATGATTCATCTTTGTAATATATATTTTTTTTCAACTGTAAAATGATAACTTCCTTAAGTTACACGAATCTAATACTCATTATGCTCCATTAACATATATGTGGAGTGGGC